TTGTATGATTGGAAAACTTATTACCAACTCATTACTTGCACAAATTTTGTTTATTCCATACATTAAACAAGATTTAAAAGCTCATCTTAGGTTTATATCTCATCATGACACATTTTGATGAACATCTTGCTCTCCCGTTATCGTTTTAACTATTTTCTTGGGCTCAATATGCATATGGATATTTTTATTTTTACATAATATCAAGACTGTTGTTATTGCAGTAAAAACAGTAAACAAATAAGTCATAGAGTTAGTTTGGTTTTAGATTAGCAAATTAATCAGACAAATCTTAGGTTGGTTTTGTTTAGCTATCAAGACTGACTAAATTTATATGGTCCCAACACTGAAGATCTCATGAATCAAGTGGAGGTCTTTTTTACGTACGATTTCACAATAACCACGGACTTTGGCTTATATGTTAACTATATATAATCTGTAAATTTCGTAAAACTATATCAATATCTGAATGTTTGTTTGTCTACGATGCATACATTATAACACTTGTAAGAGTGCACTGGGTCTTGAATTTTTAGTTTCCTTAAATGGTAATATATAGAATGATAAATGTAGAAGAACCCATTCTTGGAAAAATAGCTGTAACGCAAAGTTGAAAGTGTTGGTTGGGACAAGAAAATAAAAAAAAAGGTAAATAATTCTCCTGTAGAATTTCAGAACATGGTCTTGTGTTGAGGAAACACACATAATTCCTGCAGGACCAACAAACAAAATACTATAAGAAAGGACGAAAAATCTAAATATTCAAATATTCAATATAAAAATGTTTAAAATTATCAAATTATGTAATAAGTGGATTTTTGTAGCAAGTGGGTGATGTTTGTAATGGTAAAAGCAGCAAAAAAAAAAAGTGTAAAGAATAATAATATGAAGAGAGGTGTTGTGTTCTCTGTGGAAGAAACAAAGCCTGAAAATTTTCTGGTGACACTTTCTATTTACCTTTTTTCTCATTATTCTTTCATGTTTAATTGATGTTTGATGATGCTGACCTCTCTCCCTCTCCTTATAATTTATTTATATAATAATATTGTTTTATAACATATTTTGCATTTTCAAATTTTGTTTCCCATGCTCTCAATCAAAACAAGTGTTCGACAAAACATAGTGATGATGATGTTTGAAAGAGAGAAGCTTCAAAAACAAATGTTTGAAAGAGATAACAAAAATTATTCGGAAGGTACTTTGATTTAGAGTTGGACAATATAGGATAAATGGATTAGAGAAAACAAATGAAACAAAGGTAATCAGTGAATAAATAGTTCATGATCTTAGCAAAAAAAAAAAAAAAATAGTTCATGATAACACTGAGTGGTGGTGTTTAGTGATTGAAAATTACATTTTGAGTGGTCTTATAGTTCAAATTTTTATCAATGCGATTTTAATTATTTTGGACCACATGTAGACGTCTTTAGCGACAAAAAATCTAAATTTTTATAGAATTTAGTATATATATTTTGGTTTGGAATTCCTTTTGTTAGAAAATGAAAAATATGATGCATGATAATTGGTAAACATTTTAAAAAATAAACATAATTCACAAATGAAAAATAGAAGAAACTCATGATAAGAAAGAAGAGCACGAGATGCTTTCTCTCTATATGTGTCTGGTCTCTGTGT